TCCGGTGAAGGGAACAAACTGAAAGTAACTGTGTAAAATAGTAATCATAGTTCTGACTTGTACATTATGTATGTTTAAACCTGGAAGATTAAAAGATATGCTTATGTTTTTCCCTGGACCCAGGGACTACAGATGCTTCCATCATTTGACCAAGAATGTGTTTCTTTAATCGCTGTGTATTCACATAGAATTAGTTATACATATACACTTACAGTAGACTGGATCATTTAACAACATGTTACTTTGCTTTATGTTGTTTTGCACCATTTGAACTTGACATGTTGACCTATTATCGAGTTTGTACACATCATATGAAAATAACTTCGTTTTAAATAGCTTCTGCAATGTAGTCACTGTGGAACTTGCAAAACTGTGTGTGCTTTTTAAGATGTGTGTGTGTGTGTGTGTGTGTAGATGATGTATGTAAATCCCCTCAACGTGTGTGTGTGTGTGTGTGTGTGTGTGTGTGTGTGTCCCAAGAGCCTCACTAGCCAATGTATTATCAAACATATAATGTGTCAGTTTTTGCTATACTTGGTTGATACTGTTTTTCGATCCATCTGGAGAGACACTTTATCATGCAGTAATGTACCTGGTGCTGTATCTGACCTGCCTGTGACCCCTACCAGCTCTTCTCTATTGTGCCGTGGGATTTCCATCTTATTTAAATAAAGGGGCGGGGCTGTTGCACTTTTCCACAACCTATATTCTGACTAGTTCCCGGAAATCCCGGCATTTTACCTGCTCTAGTGAAAAATTAAATAAAATATTTTAAATAATTAAAAACTGCTTTCTTGGTGTGCATGATTGTGTAAAATGATAAACACACACTGTGAATGTTGCATCATGTCTTAGCTGTACTGAGATCACTGTAAACCACAGCTTCATGTGGATTATTGCTTTAATAAAACAGTTACCGCACATAGATTTCATAAAATAAACACAGCAACTGCATCTGAAGTAATGAGGTCACAGGCGTGTGTTTGCAGAGTATTTTACAACGGCGTCCAAAGAGGCCCAGGCATTCAAAATCAAGGGCCGGATCTTTTATAAAACAATTTACAGAATTATAGACCCAGCAGCCAGTGTATGAGACATAAATCCAATATTCTATATTCACAACAAACAAACAAACAAACTAAAAACTGTATCCGTGACATCTCTAAACAGGTGCTGTATTCTTTCTATTAAGTCAATGAAAGTAGACTCTGTTGTTTGTTCTTAAAAATATGACATTTTCCGAGATAAAAACAATTTTAACCTCCAAATAAAATCTATATTTTTATATATACATATGAAACTAAATGGATATTGTCATTATTGTCCTTTGAAAGTTCTTTTATCAATTTGACTTCCTTTTCTTTTAGTCAGCATCACAAAGTGCTACCCTGCGTCTCAATGTTCATACTATCCATCCTAAATAGTCTGTGAGATTAGAATAAGTGTGTCCCAAAGCATAGTATGTTGAAGAGTATGCCAAAAGTCCCCGGATGGTCTACTATTTCAGGTCGGTTTCTGAAGTGTTATAATGGCTAATATTGCCCACAATCCATTGTGCTTTGGTGAAGGATTCTGTCCAGAACTACAATTAAAAGTAAAAAAATACAGAATTTTGTTTAAATTGAGTTTTGATGAAGTTTTTATGCGATACAGATTAAAGTGGCTTCATAAATTACTTTTTAAAAATATTAAAAACACAAAACACACCTGATGCGAATTCTTTGCTCTTCATTTACTATAAGCAGAGTTAACAGACCCTGTTGTATTTTCTTGTAATTTATTAAAAGAAGGTACACCGCCATCTTGTGCCGACTAAACTGACTTGAACGCACCTGACGTCATTATGACTTGTCAACTCGTAAGTACGAACGTCCCAGGAGAATACCTCTCGGGAAAATGACCTGTTATTTGAAGAGATAGGAGACAAAATTTTGTTATGGCTTAATTCATTTCCTGATGCTGTAATTTGTATTGGTGGAGATTTTAATATCACACCTGATAACAGTCTTGATAGATTTCCTCATAGGCAATCTACTTCTCCTAATTCAAAACTGAAAATGTTCATAGAGAAGTTTGATTTAATAGATATTTGGAGGGAGAAGTTCCCAGACGATAAATCTTACACATGGGGTAACAAGAATCGCTCAAGACTTTCTCGTTTAGATTATTGGCTTGTACCATACTCTTTCAAACTTCATTATAATGTTTCAGTTAGTATTCTTCCTTCTCCCTTAACGGACCACCACACTATTCTCCTTTCTACTCCACTATCCACAGGACACTCAAATATAGGCTCTAGAGCCTCTTACTGGAAAATGAATTCTTCTCTACTTAAACATGACGAATTAAAAAAAAGAATTTCCTCTCTGATTCGACACTACTGGGTGAAAGCTTCTTCCGACAAAAAATTTGGCCTAAATTGGGAGATGCTAAAATATGAAGTAGGGATGTGCATTAGGCATTTTAGTAGCAATTTGGCAAAACAGAGAAGGTATGAAGAGGAGAAGGTTATATCAAAGATCTTAACACTTCAGAGCAAAACCCAGGATGGCTTATCAGAAACTGGCCTGACAGAACTTGCAGGGCTCCAATCTAAATTAGATCGTATTTATAAATACAAAGCTGAAGGTTCCTATGTCCGTTCAAGGAGGAAATGGCTAGAACAAGGAGAACAGAGCTCTGCTTATTTTTTTAGAATGGAAAAACACAATTCTAAGAATCTTACCATTAGTTCTCTTCAAATTAATGGCATTTTGACAGATAATTCTAAGGAAATTGCCTGTTTCTGTAGTAATTTCTATTCAGAACTTTATAAATCTAATTACTGTAAAGATTCAGCCCTTCTTTTCTTTCATTCATTAAAGGAGGTTAAATCATTATCTAAAGATGAGCAGCTTGCATGCGATAAAACTTTAACTATCACTGAAATAATTGAGGGGATTGAGGGCCTTAAAAATAACAAATCTCCTGGAACTGATGGCCTAACGGCCGAGTTCTACAAAAGCTTTGCTGAAGAATTGGCACCATTCCTGCAGTATTCAGTCAGAAACTTTGCCTTCTAGTTTAACACAAGGGCTTTTAACTTTGATACCTAAACCTAAAAAAGATGTTACTTTGATAGATAATTGGCGACCTATTTGTCTCCTTAATAATGATTATACAATTTTAGCTTGGGCTTTGGCCCAAGTTCAGTTATCGATGAGACTCAGTCAGGATTTATGCCAAAAAGACACATATCAAACAAAATCCGACTTGTTCTAGATTTATTAGACTATAGCGAATTAGTTAATGATGACAGTCTTATTCTTTTTGTAGATCCGGTACTTTATTTGGAATAATTGTGATATTCTTTATAAAAAGAAGTCATTGTTTTTCCCAGATTGGGTGAATAATAATTTTATTTTGGTTTCTCAATTAATCAATGCTGATGGACACTTGTATTCATATTCAGAGTTTTTGAACATGTACAACATACCTGTCACTCCACGAGAGATTGCTATAGTAATGGATGCCATTCCTTATGGAGCAATAACTCTTCTCAGAGACTCAGCTAGATCCCAGATTTCTTTGTCAGTTGCTCATCCTTTTGATACAGTGATTGGGAATATTTGTTTTTGATCTAACTCTTCTGGTCGGAACAGGAGAATTAGACTGCTATTTCAGAATGAGATTACTTCTCTCCCGTACATTGTGTCCTACTGGAATGGCCAGGTTATCAACATTCCATGGAAGAAAGTGTGGACTTTGTCGTCTAAATATGTAATAACCAATAAGGTCAAGGATGTGTCCTACAAATTACTTCATCTTTTTTATCCTGTAAAGCTTTACTTAAAAAGAATGTTTCCTGATATTGACTCTTTATGTTCTTTTTGTGGTGCTGAAGATGAATCTATTTCTCATCTCTTCTGGGAATGCTCATATACAAGAATGTTCTGGATGGATTTCTGTATTTTTGTACGCACATTTTCATCACAAAGTTTTTCTTTGTTATACAAAGATGTTTTATTTGGTCAGCACAATTTTGATAAAGATGCAGGGTGCTAAGCCTTACTTTTTTATTTTTCATAAGGAACTTAAATCCTATCTGGACACTGTCCTTACATCCAGCAACTCCAAAGCCCTTAAAACGGTCTCATTGTGTCATTTGTACGATATTTTCCTGATTTTGTAACCTGCATGTGTACTCTCAATTGTATGTACCCCTGGCATTGATTGTGTATGTTCTTACAATTTGCAAAAAAAAATAAATAAATAAAATAATGAATTAATAAAAAAAAAACAAAAAAAACGAACGTCCCAGGAGGACTTGAACGCAGCATTAGAAAAAAAAGGGGTTTGAGTTACTAATATTAAACATTTAACCTGGTAAAAAATATTTATTTAATGTTATCTGTGTTATATTTCAACAGCAATGTGAACTTTTATAAACATCCGTTTGGTGGTTAACTTTTAAATGCATCATTGTGCATAACATTTGAGCAGAGTTCTCGGCATGAAAGGCCCGCGACTGGCTACTGCTTTTCTCTCCAGTACAGTAGGAAGTTAAATGAAATGCAATGTGGAGGATGTGAACTGTGAGAAGATGATTGACAGGCAGTGTACAGTGACAGGGTGCGTGTATCTATGCGACAGAGCGTCCGCTAAAGACGCAGTTGTGTGGCGTGATAGTATGTCCCAAAGCTTGCCTACTCTCCTACAACACACTCAAAAGTGTGTACTTTTCTTCACCAAAACAATTACATACTTTAAGGGCGTAGTATATGTAGGCACATTGAGCCGCAGCACTAGGCTACTGTAGAGTCATTTGACTATGAGCTCACTGCAGAGAGACTGTGAACGGTTGGCCCGTTTTCCCCGCGTCTGTCCAGCAGGAATCCTACCAGCGGACTCCCGCCCACTAACCGACTCCGAGCCTCAGCTAATCTGACAGCAGAGTAACGGGGCGTGTGTAATATTCATGAGGCGAGCCCTCGCCATAGTAGGGCAGTGTCAGCGGCCGCATTTCTCCAGTGTGTCTGACCGCGCAAGGGTTTCTGCTGCGGCGCTCCCGGTCCGAGGCTTGAATGCGGTTGATGCTGCTCTGCTGCACCTGGAAGGACGAACGCATGGGAGAGGAGGAAGGTTAGTCTGTCTTCTGGATCGCGATGATAGAGTATGTGAATGATGCGCATCTTCACCAGAGGTCGTGAGGATGCTGCGCCTCGCTGATGCGGTCTGTCTCTCCGTCAGATCTCCGCCGTGAGGAGGCTGCTTGATGTGTTGCTGCAGCTCTGCCCTGCTGCAGTAGAAACATGCACTCATTAGAGCTCAACTATAAACTGTCCCGTTCACTTCTGTTCATTTCTGGCTCGCTTACAGCAGCTGTGGGATTTCAAGGTCTGGGTTTGTTGATATTGGTTCTCAAACATAACATTATCATATACCATTACCATGTTTATGGATGTGTACCATGGTTTTTAGCACATGATGCAGTATTAAATGTAGTATTAATATTTTCAAGTAAAAAACAAACAAAAAAATAACTTCAGTCTGTCCATCAAGGGTATTATTGAAGACACCAGTAATCATTAAATCTATAAGTAGAAATTGTTGGTACCCGAAAATTCCAATGAAAATCAACTTGGTGATTTTTGGAAATTTAATTGTTTTGTATTTTTTATTTTTTTGTAAAATGACAAAATTCAAAGTTATGGAACTTCATCGGCCAGCAAGTCTGGGAATGTACAATGGTTCAGTGATGCTATAGTTCTTACAAATATACCCGCTGACATGCTATTCCAAAGCACTCAGTGCTACTTTGTTACAGGTCCAGAGTGCCATGGAAGTGTTTTTGTTTATATTTTGCATATTTTATGTGATGATATCCTGGAAAATTATGAATACTTCCTGTATTCATCTGCCCTCATGTGAGGTAAATGTGTGTGTAGTGTTACAGGGAACTGGCCTGAATGTGTGTGTGTGTGTGTGTGTGTGTGTGTGTGTGTGTGTGTGTGATGAGTGAATGAGGTTTGATCTGTCAGACGTCACACGCCTGTCATCGATTCGCTCTCTCTCACAGTCCATACACACCTCCAGTTTATCCATGAATCACACAGAGATGAATATTGGACTTCGGATTGGGTTTCGGAAGCTCTGCTACAGTGACCTGTCCAATATTCCAGTATTTTCTTCCGTTAGAAGTTGAGTTTGTCAGGGAAACGTCAGAGCCTCATCTGCTCCTCATCTGTTCATCTGCTCTGTCTGATTCCTGACAGTATTCATCACATCTTATCCTGTTCCTGTGGAAATGATCAGGGCTGCGTTTCTCAAAAGCATCGTAAGCTAAGTTGATCGTAGAGACCATTGGTGGCATTGGCTCTACAGTACGATGCTTTTGGGAAACACAGCCCTGATCATTTGGCATTAAGTAAGTAGTGAACACACACACACACACACACTCACTCACTCACTCACTCACTCACACTCACTCACTCACTCACACACACACACACTCACACACACA